TTCCCTACAGAATCAGGTTCTTTGTGGTCCCAATTTGGTCAGAAATATATCTCTTCCCTCTTACCGAAAAGCACTCAATTCCTCAGACATAGTAGCTGAAAGCCTCAAGAGAACACCTCAGTCAATTGGACATGTTCTTAGATCTGAGAAACACAAAGCGCTAAGTTTTTGAGGACTCGGACAGGTGGTAGTATAGGCGTAGACTACAATGACAATTGACTACGACTTTGATGATCATAGTATCTTATGTGCTTGCAACAAGGCTAGCAAGTAGGACTTATATTTGCAGTTCTAGAAAATTAGGGGCCATTAGCGTTTAGAGAATGGTTATTCCTACATCAATATAATTGTTTAGGTAGATAGCTGGTACGTAAAGTTTCTAGCTAATGCAAAAACCAAATGATTAAGATGTGGTAGGGGATAATTTCTTGAAGGTATATTCTGTATCTGGACATATATGTGTACTGTTAGAAAGAGCTTGTATTATCCATCTAAACTTCGACCTTCTAATCCACTAATTAAGCACCCACCTGGGCAAAATTTTGACCATATGTAACGTACTGAAGGAGTATAAAAAATAAGATTTATGGTTCTTTCAGCTTTTCTTGGATTAGTTTCATGATGTGGCATTAAGTCCTAATTAACCACGCTGCCGAGGCTTAAAATTTGTATACGTTAACAAAAATTCTGTTTAGGTTTGCTAAAATAATGATCTTCTCCTTTTCAGTTTTTGCTTTATGCTGTTCCCTGATGGTATGTTGGTAATGTAGCTAATCCTACTAATCACAAGAATAATCCGCTCAAGTCAAAAAGAGAAAAGTTTGAATCAAAGAAAACTCTGCGAATAAGGGAATAATGAGTCCAGAGAACTCGACAACAATACTCTAGGCCACAGCGTAGCTCATTTTGTTGCTTCTTATGCAAAGGAAATTTTTTTTAGTCATAATTGAATATTCAGGTGTCTAATATTTATCTTCCTACTGCGAAACGGTGTTACCTAGTGGCTAGTGGTCAATAAAGTGGGTGAAAACTATGAGATCTTAGGTTCAAATCTTAGCGGAGGTAAAAAAAATCCAAGGTGATTTCTTCCCCATCTATCCTAGCCTTAGTAGATAGAGTTACCTGCTAGTTGTTGCTGGTGGGAGGTGGCACCCAAGGGTGTGGCTTAGTGGTCAATGAAATGATGAAAACCATGAGGTCTCAGGTCGATGAGAGGTGGCACCCAAGGGTGTGGCCTAGTGGTCGATGAAGTGGTGAAAACCATGAGGTCTCAGGTCGGTGAGAGGTGGCACCCAAGGGTGTGGCCTAGTGGTCAATGAAGTGGTGAGAACCACGAGCTCTCAGGTCCAATCCCAGCGTTGCAAAAAACATTAGATGATTTCTTCCTATATATCCAAGCCTTGATGGATAGAGTTACCTTGTTGGTAGGAGGTGACAGGCATCACGTAGAATTAGTCGAGGTCCGTGCAATCGAGGTCCGTGCAAACTGGCCCGGACACCGCAATTATCCCAAAAAAAAACATTATCTTCCTACTTAGCACTTAATAAAATGCTCTTCTAGTGTCTAAAGGTTGACAAGATTTGTCGGGACTCCACTGGAAGGGTACTTCTATACATAAAATTCGAGTTAAAATGTTACATTATTTTTCAAACTTTGTAACTAGTCAAATTGTGTCAAACAAATTGGATGCCAAGAGTATCAGTTTTAAAATCCAAACTTCTACGAGCACTGTTGACATTTCAAATTTTTAACAAGTCTAATTTTTTCCGAAAGGAAAAAGAAAATGAACTAGTGACATTATTGTTCCACTAAACTCTCGAAACTATAACATGGTTATTTAAAACACCAAAGAAATATTAGTTGGTGTTCCTAGAGGTGGGGGCTGAGGGCGTCTCAAAAGGAAGAAAAAAACAGAGATAATTATCCCAACATCTATGGAATGAAAAAATATGCTTCTGACCCAAACGGCTTTGAGAAATGGGAGATTTTAAGCATCATTACTTATCTATTGGACAGAGTAAAATTCTTCTTATTTGGATAAAAGATAGAGCACCCACATCATTTGACTGAGTGGGCTGTCATATGTCATAATTTCTGGTATTGAAATGATTTAAGATTTAGAACCAATTGTCTTCAGTTCAACATCATTATTATAGTGAAAATATCCAAAGTTTCATTTTCTGCTCTCTGTGTTTCCTAGAGGAAAATATACAAAATTGATGTGAGTAGTCAAGAAGAAATTTGTGGCACTTATTCTATATCCAATCTTTGATTATGAAGTATATTACATTAAGATATTTTTATTTAAGAATGTTGTTAACATGAGACATTATGAATTTGTAAAGACAGGAGATCAAAATGATCAGCAGTAGAGGTGGTACACAGACAAAAAAAACCATTACCTGTCTTACAGAAGATGCAAAAAATATTGAATTAGTATTGTTAAAACCAACATTATGGATGCTAGTATTCTCGACAAAAATAAAGAAAAAATAACTAGTTACACTTATTATAAGTAGTTACCCGAGTATATTTTACGTACTTGCGGTAGGGTTTTATAACCTATATATCAGTGACGGCTCGACCCCAGGCGACTAAAGCGAAAGCTTTAGGCCCCAAAAATAGGAGGCCCCAAAATTTACTCCTCTTTCATGTTTATAGATTATAACACATGTTTTATCTATATATAAAATAATTACTACTACTAATAGTTATAATTTATTATAAGAAATTTTTTTCGATCAATTACTGCCAACTTACAAACAATCATTAGTCACATAGTTACATATTATATGTTATTTTTTAATAGATGTGCTTGAGGCAATTGTGAATAGAAGTGGTAGACAAATTAACTAATTAGCAAAAGAATCTGATTCTATTCTTTTAAAATTCAACATATGAGTGAAATCGTTTTTTAGTTAATACAACTCTCAAGATATATAAATTTATTTCTAAATGAATAATACTACGGTAAAAGAAATCATAAATTTTTGCAAAGTCACATAATATTAAGAGTGAAAATTGCTAAAAGGCAAGCTCGAAGGAAGGAATGCAAAAATGGTGCCACATTTCAAAGTAATATTGTCTTATTTATGTTATTATCATTTTATAAAAAATTATATCAATTTGATTATTTAGGTATATAATAGAATTTCCTTAATCCTTTAAATAAAACATTCCTTCTATGTATAAAATTTAGGTAAAAAAATATAAATGCACATTTAAATAATACTATAATAAATATAAAATTTTACATCATTATAATCTCAAAAACAACATTAAATTCTAGATAATACATTTGAAATGACACGATAATTGCATGTCAAATCATATATTATTTAGTTATATTTAAATAATTTTTTAAAATTTTATATTTTTTTATATGGGTACACACGCGAAGCACGTACCCTAAGACTAGTTTTATAAGATACGTCTAAGGCCTCATGATAAGATTTGGCTTTAGGCCTCTATTGAGCCACCTCTATATATATTTATTAACAAACAAAATACACCACCCGACCCCCAAAAGAAAAAGAAACAAAATACCCCACCAGGGTACTAGACCCCCCCCCCCCCACAACCCTTGAAAGAAAAAAGAAAAAGAAAAAAAAAAACAGAATGTTTAAGATTGAACACAGTTTACCTCTTTCTTCAAGCTCGTAAAATTGCAACACAACCATTTTATTTTTAATTACAAAGGATGTGGCGTTGCAATTCCACTACTAGTGATATATTAGGTATGTTCACTTACTTTAATATGATAAAAAAATAATTTTATAACTTACTGCTTGTGTCCACCAAACTTTTAGGGCTCGTTTAGTACGAACGATAAGGATAATTAATTTCGGGATTAAATTTGAGATGAATTTATCCCACATTTAGTTTGAACAAAATCGTAGTAACTAATCCCGGAATTAGTTATACTGAGATTGTGGTGTTATTTTATTCCTATGATAGGGTAGGATAACAATCCCAGAATAACTAATACCAGTATAATTAATGCTGGATTAATTTATTCCCCTACAAAAGACCTCTAAAACCATAATTATGGAAATATTAAAATCAAAGAAAATACCCGAGGGAGTTGCTAGAAAATTAATAATGTATCAAATATGCCGTAGCCCATAGGGAAAAAGGTACATTCTATGAAGAGGAGAAATTATTCATAGCAATTTCGTCTTAATGGTAGTTAACCTTAGCATGAAAATATTAATTGACCTTCTCAGAACACGAATAAGAGACGCAGTTTTAACTATAAATACGAGCAAAAATAAAAATGAAAAAAGATACCTATACACTTTTCAACGTTACCACAATCCATACCATAGAATTAAGAATGGTTCGGTTTGTATCGATTTTCCCCTTAAAAGAAACCAAACCAAATAAGTCGGTTTTTCAAATATTAGAACCAAACCAATTAAGTCGGTTTTACTCGATTCGGTTAATATCGGGTTTTGTCGGTTTTTCGGTTTTTCGATTATTTATCGGTTTTTTCTTAAATATAAAACATACACTACCAAACACATATTCCGGCGACCACATTTTCAGCGTAACACTATCAAATCAATTGCCCTTTCAGAAATCTATTATTTACCAAGATATATTGATGATAATTGAATCAAATAGTGATTAACAATTTAAGGACTCAATCAAAAATATATTATTTTTAACACGAAATGGATTCTTACACTTAACAAAAGAATACTACCAATCAAACTAGAATATAAAGGTAAAGAACTATACCAAAAGTGCAAACTATTAACATTTACCATTAAATTTTTGAAATTTTGTATAAAAATATACATACATATAGGTGTAATAATAAATTTAAAATAACTACTCCTATAGTCGATTTGGTTCGATTTTTTTCGATTTTTTTCTGTTTAAAACCAAAACCAAACCAAATATGATCGATTTTTAAAATTCAAAACCAACACCAAGCCAAACCAAAAAGTATCGGTCTTTTTAGTCTTCGATTTGATTCGATTTTTCGTATTTTTATGAACACCCCTATTTACAGCTATGTGCATAGCAAAAAGTAGGTTCGATTCTTATTCCCAAATTAAATTCATATACAGAGAGTATTAATTCATTTGGTCCGCTTTAATAGGAGCGTAGAAAAAGGAACTTTTGCCATAAATTAATGGCAAAATGTCAGACATCAATCATGAGCCTATTCTCTACCCTTTACAATCTTCAATCTGCTCTTCTTCTTCATCACCAACTGGAAATGCAAAAGAATTTCACTCCAAAAGATGGGAGGCAGCCGAGGCGGATACAGGATTTAAATTTAATGGGATTATCTCTTTAAAATTTTAAGATTAAACTCATTGTACTACTAAGAATACGGGTTCAAACGTAATACTTGTTGAAATTTAAACAAGTTTATATATATATATATATATATATATATATATATTTCAAAAGCTACATCAAAGGAAACTGATTAGTTCTTCACTTCTTCTACATATCTTCACTTAAAAGATCAGAAACCCTGGAAGTAATTCCAGTGTCATCATCTTCATCCTTATTATCTATACTATTTTCATGCTTATTGTTTCTACACATATTATTTACACTAAGCAAATAAGTTTTCCATACTATTTACACAATAATTCTTTACTATCACTTTGGCATTACTAATTAATTGAATGGATAACAATAATTGTAACTCCAAAACTGATACTTCTGCTCCCTCCGGTCCAAAATAAGTAATTTTTTTTTGTAGTCCAAAATAAGTAATTTTTCCAGATTCCAAGAATGAATTAATTATTTTTTTCCTATGTTACCCATGAAGTAAATAATGTTGGAGTATGTATTAGGAGTGTTTATGTGAAGAGATAGTAAAGGTCAATTTTATTACTAATTAATGTTAAAAGGTAAATTTCTTAATATGTGTGAAAACAATCAAAAAATCACTTATTTTGACCGGAGGGAGTAGGGATTTTTTTTTTTTTAAAGATCGACTGTCAAAAACATATACAAACAAAATGAGACAACAAAACAGTCATCCATTTGGAAACATAAATATATATCTTTTCATTAAAATAAGCAATGAAAAATTTGGTTTATGTTTATAAATATTCTCAGAACCCATCCTATACTTTTTAAGTTCTAACCACATTGAGAACCTCCTCTATCTTTCTGGATCCCTTAAGTTTCTTTTCATGGGTAAGCAATAAGCATAGTCAAAGCAGGTGCTAAAATTGATTTTTTTTTTTTTTTTTAAAAAAAAAAATGAAAATCATGCATAGGAAAGTGGAACTAGTGCACAGAAATTTCTAGGTATAGGGACTAATAATAGCAAAGTAAAGAAAGTGACCGGAGATGAAAAATTAGGGTTTTTGAGTTACAAGTTTGATGGATCAAGAATGTGTTTATTTCCCAATTACTCATTTGAGCAGTGAAATTGCATGAGATGGATGATACAATAACAAAAAGCTGCTCCTCAATTTCAAATAAGTTAAGATCGGCTATATAAATGTTCACTTCTCAATCTATGAACTGAAAACAGACGACGACGACGACAACAACAACACACGAAAAAAAGGAAAAGAGAGCTAAAACTAAATCCAAATAACGAAAGATTTGTCTTTTTGTTACCTTTACAATTCCAAAACCCTACTTATCCATCAGCGCAAAATCTGGGGGAAAACAAAGCAACAACATGAAGAACGTGTTATATAGATAAATCACGAGGGTTTCGCAAAGAGAAACCAACAGAAATCTGTTGGCAGTATGCCCACCTCCATAATTTTACACTTTATCTCATCGTTTCAAACTACGTCACATAAATTAAAACGAAGAAAATATTTTTTTCTCTAATTAATCTTTTTTTTCTATCTAAAAGGAGATCGAGGAGGTGGACAGAATGCCAAAGAACTCTGTAAGGAACCCTTTGTAAAACCTCCATGAAAAATATGAAGATAATTACTTCATCATATCCTCTTTTCATTTACTAATTTGTAGTAGTAATATGATATATGTATATAGAGAAGCTGCTTACACAAAGTGGGATAGTTGTGAGAGTATTTTCAAAAAGAAGGCAGTTGAGCACTATTTAATATGGTGCTTGGCTGTAAAAATAATTAATATGGTGGAGACTGGAAACTGTAGAGAGAGAGAGAGAGAGGTATATTTTCCAGAGGGAGAGAAAGGGAGAGATCATAAATCAGATTGGATGTTTCATTCTTCCCTTTGAGGACATTCATCATACTTATTCTTCCATCCCTCGTTTCTGCCGAATAATACGTTGTTTGGTTCAAGTGATAACGATAATAATTACGGGATAAAATTTGAGATTGTATTTATTCTATATTTGATTGTAGGTAATAGTTAATTTTAAGATAAAATTCACATTAAAATAGTGGACATTAAGAGGGTGTTTGGCTAAGCTTATAAACTGGTCAAACTAGTTTATAAACATTTTTCGGCTTATCTATGCGTTGGGTAAAATTAAAAGTGATTATAAGCCAAGTACTTATAAGTCAAAAATAAGTCAAAAGTCATAAGCACTTTAAATTTGACCAAGGTTTTTACTATTTTATACTTATATTAATATTCCATTTTAGAGCAAAACTCTTACATCGATACTCACTGCCTCAAGTATTTTTTTCAACCTGACCCCTTCCCCCTCCCCCCGCCTCTTCAAGTCTATAATTCTCATTGACTATTTAAGATAAGCAAATTCTCTATTCATTTGCATATTTGTATCTATGTGATTGTGTATTAATCTTTGAACTGTATGTAATAAATGAGGACATATCAAATTTTTGGTGTATTGCTTTCTAAGTGTTGTGATGGTGAAGCTAGTGTTTGTTTCCCTTCAACTAATTTGTCCTATTTAGGTTTATTTTTTACTGATAAACTTTTGTCAATTCATTAATTATTATGTGCTTATCATAAAATAAATTATATTTATCATAATAATTATTTTATCTAAGCACAGGTGTATTTAAAATAAAATGACAAATAGAATATTTTGTATTTGAATCGATCTAGAATCTAAAATTTTGAACAAATTACGCCCTTATAAATGTTAACAGTTCTAATGTTATTTAAGTCATTTTAACAGAAAAAGAGCTTATCAGCACTTTTTTTATCAAATACTGCAACAACTTATTATCAATTTCAGCACTTGTATCCAAACATGTAACTACTTATTTATTAAATCAGTTTCAGCACTTAAAAGTGCTTTTCAACACCTAATACTTATCAGCTACTTCAAATAAGCTAATCCAAACAAACTCTAACTATCCTATTAAAAGGTGGGATAACTAATCTAATGGGTATCTTTATTTATCATCCCCTCCTTTGATTTTTAGGTACGGATGATATAAAAATTATTTAACAATTAAATAAATTAAAAGCTACTATAATTGAATGTACCTTATTTAATTATATTTATTAATAAATTATAATATGTGATAAATAAATTTATTAGTTATAATAGATTAAATTATATGAATATAAAAAGTATCACTACTAGAATCCCTGTAAAAAGCGACCAAAGATTAGCGACCAAATTTGGTCTGTCAAAAAAAGCGACCAAAGTTGGTCGCCAAACTGCCGAAAATAATAAAAAAAATATTTGAAATACTTTAGCGACCAAAGTTGGACGCTATTTGGTCAGACTTGTTTGGTCAAAGATATACTGAGATTAGCGACCAATGTTGGTCGCTTAAGCGGGACCCACATAAATTTTTTTAATAATTTTTATTATTATTTTATAAAACTTATAAAATATAAATATATATAATTTAAAACTTGCGACCAAAGTTGGTCGCTAACTGAAGGATAAGTTGATAGCGACCAACATTGGTCGCTAAAGCGGGACCCAGTTATTATATTTTAATAAATATATATTTATTTAAAATAAATTATAAAATATAAATAAATATAATTCAAAAGTTAGCGACCAAAGTTGGTCGCTTAACCAATAGAGACCAATGTTGGTCGCAAATGTGGGACCCAGTTCTAACATTTAATAATTTTTATTATTAATTTAAATATTATATAAAATATAAATAAATCTGATTAAAATTTAGTGACCAAACTTGGTCGCTAAATTAAATTCATGTACAGTTAGTGACCAACTTTGGTCGCTAAATTAAATTCATTTACAGTTAGCGACCAAAGTTGGTCTCTATATGGTCAAAATTAAAAATCACTTTTATATTTACTATGTAAATAATATATAGTAAATAATATAAATGTAAGTCGTTAATACTTTTGTAATACAAGGGATGAATAGTACTACGAAGTGGGCATGTGTGTCTATATATATAATATATAAATACTTACGCTATATTATGCACTAAGTATAAGTGTATTAGGTAATAGCGTATCGAATATAGATTAAGACAATAATTTGACTGACAAATATCACCAACATCCCATTAAGCTTGTACAGATCAGACTTGGAAGAAAGTTGAGAACAAAACTTCCTATAATCTTTGTCATCGTAGAGTCTTATGATCCCCGTTTTATGGGAACTGCCATGACCAACAGAAAACATTCCATCACCATCAACCTTGTCACTCCCAATTAAACTCCTTTTCCTCTTGGAAAATGAATTATAGAATTCCTCTATTACCTCTTCTTTTATCTACTTAGGAAATGTTTGTCACGACCCAATTCCCACTCGGTCGTGATGGAGCCTCTCGTGAAGACAAGGCCAGCTAACAGAACAATCAACACTGCTTTTGACGATTTCTTAGCATAACAGGTTTAAACCATAGATACTGATTAATTATAAGTACGGAAATAAACGTAACATAACGGGAAAAAAAACCATCCCAAACTCAGCCCGATAATCGGGGTGTCACAAGTCACGAGCTACTACAGAGTTGATGAAAATACTACAAGTCTGGAAACATAGTCTGAAGATGAATAAGATATGCAGAAGATAAGGAAGAAACGGGGCTGTGGACGTCGACAGCTACCACGTCTCTCCTAGTCCGCCTGGTCTGGAAGGAAATCACCGCTCAGGTACGAACTCAGCTGTGCCTGTCTCTGCACACATGGTGCAGGAAGTAATGTGAGTACTCTGACCCAGTGAGTAATAAAATTAAATAACGACTGAGAACATAAAATCCCACAAGGGCACAAATAATGCTATCTCAAGCAGCAACATCAGATAAACAGTAGAAGCCATTGAAATATAGGAAGAAAAATCTTTTTGAAAACAATCAATAAAACAAGTATGCTCAAGTATGGTCAGCCATTGTTACCTGACCGGTCAGCCATTGTCACCTGACCAAACGCGTATTACAGTGCCATTGTTACCACTGGTCAGTCATTGTTACCTGACTGGTCAGTCATTGTTACCTGACCAAACGCGTATAACAGTGTCATTGTTACCACTGTTCAATATTTAATCACTCTAGATGGGTACCCGCGCTCACTGTGGGTGTGCAGACTCCGGAGGGGCTCCTACAGCCCAAGCGCTATCAACAAGGCCTGAAAGCCTGAACAGTATCAATACGAGGCCTGAAAGCCTCCTCATCTCACTCATCATGCCCTCACATAAGGCCCTCGGCCTCAATCAGTCCAGAAATAGTCAACAGCCCCTCGGGCAACAGTAAAGCAATAATACTCACCTCAAACAATAGTTCAAATATCAGTTTAAAACTCCAAGTTTGAGTAAATATGGCTGAGTTCAAGAAACGGTGTAAATCACATGGACTGAGTTCAAATAATATTTCAAACAGTGAGGAAAACAGTGATGATAGTTCATAAAGAGTTCAAATAGTCGACAATAAGCCCCAAATATGGCAATAAGCCCAAATCATAGTGAAAACAACAAGTCATTGCTAATACGCGGTAAAATATCATCCGGACTGGAC